CCCCCTTCCCCCTCCTCTGGTCTCCGTCCCAGCCCGCTGCACCGTGGCTAGCAGCCACAGCTGTAGGAGCACAGGTGCGCCCGCCAAACAGCTACGAACCAACTAACGGCGACGTTTCCGCGTGTTTCACATCTTTTCTCGCTTTGGGGTTAACGCGTTAATTAAAGAATCGAAAAGAGGCATTGATTGCATTCATAACAAAACTCCAAACAGATGGGCTTCTGTGCGGGTGTCGATAGAAGCGCTCTCATGGCGCGGGAAGTTAACCACCGCCGGTGCCGTGGTTGCCAGAGGCAGCAGGGATCCTAAGGGTCAGCCAATAAGAGGGGAAAATATTGCGCTCCGTGGCGTGTGAGCCTCGCGGTCGGCTATTTGAGATTCCAGCGCCATCGGCCTCATCTGCTCGACACCTTTCGAAAGTGAAGGGATATACGCGCGCGGTCCTATCGGAGAAGAGGGGGGGGGCCTCACTCCCTACGTGACGCCCCCCCCCCCTTCCCCTCACCTCATCTCTTTCAAACTACTCGCCTCCTGCTTCGCAGCGCATTTCGGGAATCATCTGCACGCCGGGACGGGTCGATGTAAGAGTCGTCCACAGTCGATTAGGGTAATTTTGCTTCCCTTATAATAATGTTACGTTACATGCTGTGCAATTTCGGACAGGAATTCCCAACACACAACACACACACACACGTGTTCTTAAAATTTCTCAAGAATGGCGGGTATGTTAGAGCATTCTACTTTTCACAAATAAACAGTTTCCGACAGTTTCTCAAAACAAGCGCCATTTTCTTGATAGCAATCAAAGACACGTATGTACCCAAATCAAGAGCACACTTTTTCTAAGAAACACGCCTTTCTCTAATAACATATTTTCCGTTCTGTAGCTCGGCACGTTTTCTGCTCCCAAGCAGACCTTTTGTTTCGGTGTACAAGAAGCGAGTTCCCGGTTGGCAATGCAGATGAGACGGTAAGACGCACAGCCTCGATCTCTTCGGCTCCACGGTCCACTCGGTTCACTGTTAAAAAGCCTTGAAATTTGGAAAATAAAAACACTTATTTTGGTCTTTCATTCGGGACTTGAACACGCTTTGATGGCACCCTGCGTCCAGACTTTCATAATACTAAGTAAGATTTTGCCCTGCTGGTACAAAGCTAACACGAAAAGAATCCTTTCGGGAGACCAGAGGAGCAGTCTGCCGAAGAGTCGAGCTCTCCGCTTCTCTGCTCGGTAAAATACCATATCGCTCCCACGTCAGGCTCTCGCAGGCAGGCAGCCGATGCCAAGTAGTGGGTTGGCTCATTAGCAGCTGAAGGGGAGGGGGGATAAAGGAACAGAAGGGACAATAACTGGGGCGTTATAATAACCGTAACTCTTCGCCGTCGCAGAACCTATTCACTGTGCCGAACGGATAA